GATTTTTGTATGTTTATCTTGTATCCTGCTACTCTGCTGAATCTTTCTATTAGTTCCAGTAGATTTCTCGTGGAGTCTTTAGGGTTTTCTATGTACAGTATCATATCATCCGCAAACAGGGAGAGTTTAACTTCTTCATTACCAATTTGGATGCCCTTTGTTTCTTTTTCTTGCCTTATTGCTCTAGCTAGGACTTCCAGCACAATGTTAAATAGAAGTGGTGATAAAGGGCATCCTTGTCTTGTTCCTGTGAAACATGTTTTATTTTTGATGTAAGTTTTCTGTGAACATTGAGAATGGAACTGTTGTGTTAATAAAATAAATTTATAGAATCCCTTAAAATTTTTAGCTTGCATTGTAACTTTTGAAAGACTCACTTAAAAAAATTAAATACTTGACTGGTTATGCCATTTATGAAATCATGCCCCTTAGTTTATAGTATTGTGAGAGTTGTTAAGAAAGAATGCCTGTAAAGCGAACTATTGCTTATCATGTGTAGCATAAGTCTGAAGAAAGTCCAGGTGCAGTTTGATTTTTAAATGCAAAAAATGTTTCTGTTGTATAAATTATTATGCACTTGTGGAAATTTTATGGATGTTTTCGTTTGACACAGTTTTCAAAAGGGTGTGTCACATTTTTGAAGCACGTGAAATCACCATGGATGAAATTTTGTCTCAGGACCGTGTGTCTCATATAATAACTAAATTTTACAGCACAGCACATAGAATTCAAAATAGCTGCAGTTGGATTATTTTATAGTATTACCATTAACAAAATGTTTAACTACTGGTGAACTAATTTTCTAAAATTAATACTATTGGTAATTAAGTTTGGGAGTAACTAGCATGTATGAAGTCTGGTATCAGATGATTAATTTATAATACATACATTATCTCTTCAATGGCAGGATTAAAGGTTTCTCCTTAGATAATTACCAAAAAAATTTTTATTTATACAATTACTACGTTTTTTTGCTTTTCAGAAAATGATGAAGGAATGCATGGTGAGACTTATATATTGTGAAATGCTTGGATATGATGCTTCCTTTGGCTATATACATGCAATTAAGTTGGCACAACAAGGAAACCTCTTAGAAAAGAGAGTAGGTATGTATATGTTTAAGACTTTCATATTTTAACATTGGCCTTAGGGTTTCAACTACGATATCAAATAAATGAGGGCAGGTTATAGTATATTTTTAGAACACCTGCATTGTAATTTCCAAAGCTTAAAATAACACTTCAGATATTCAAAGCCTATAAATGAAATCAGTTTTCTTAATTCATAGCATTTTAGAGTTGTAGAGAAGATTAAATATTACCTGGTCTTGTGATGGTGGTTACACAACTGTACATATTTGTAAAAACTGATTGAACTGTACACTTAAAATTGGTGAATTTTATTGTATGTAAAAAGTACTGTAATACAGCTGGTTAAGAAATGTCTGTCTAATCTCATTAATTTAAAAGTCAGAAATGTTTCTATATAGAATAAAACTGAAATAATTGTAAATTTCTGTTCTCAATTTCACAAAAGTTAGCTAGAAGGATTAGAAGTTTCTTTTAAAAAATTTTGTCTTTGTACTCAGCCTTTGGGACTGTTAGGAAAATTCTTTCAAGGACTTAAATCTATTTATATAGGTTCAACATTACATCAGAATCCCAAGAAAGAAGAATTTTAGTATAGAATAGGAGTAGAACATGTTCTTTATTGAAAGCCAGCAGTTGATAGTATCATGTTGTCAAGGACCGGCAGTCTTCCACAAATTATAGTGACCTGGGCTGTAAGATGATGGGGTATATGAGAGACGCCTTGGCACAGAGAATCTAGATTCTGTGTATAGGTAGTCACCGACATATGATGGGGTTCCATTTCGGCAACTCCGTCTTAAGTAGGTTCGGATGTAAGTCAAATACCTCATTTTTTAAAATTATCTTTATTAGTGCCTTTTATTATCAGCATCCTTATAAATATGATCTTTGCCTTTGGGGGTTGGCATGAGAATGATGAGATAGCAAATTACGCACTGCAATGTTGTATATAGTACACATTATTAACAAGATGTAGCAAAAAAAAAAAGATGGTTCTAAGTGGGGTTCGCTGTAACTCAAATATATCATAAATCGAGGACTCCCTGTATATGGCATTTGCCATAATACTGATATATTTCCTCAATCCTAAGCTGTACTTTTTCATTTTTTCATAGTATTGAAGTGAGAATGCTTATTCAAGAATACATGTTTAAGTCAATGAGTACATGTAGTGTGGTAGACATGTTTCTTTCCTCAAAAGCTGCATTTATTCAGTACTCTTCAGATTGAGAAAATAAGATCTTTTATGGTTTAATGTATATTTCTATTGTATAGATTGGTATTAGGTAGCTCACTCAACAGTACAAATAGCCGGTAATTCACTATTAAGAACTGTTAGATTTTGAATACTTATATGTTTGGCTATAAGATAGAGCATGTTTTGATTGATAGTGTAGAGATTTGCACAGAAGGTATAAGGCATATATTCCTGATGTCATTTACAGGACTTTTAAGTTTGTGCACATGGCCTCTTGTCCATTTCAGGCATATCCTGTGTAATACATAATTCTGAAAGACTTCAGGATGAAGAACACCTGAAATCTTCCTTAGTGAAGTTTTTTGGACCTCATATTTTGTAATTTGTTTTTGTATTTACCTGTACTTGGTATCTTTGATACTTAAAATTTGTAATATTTTATTACTCTGTGTAACTTCTTGTGAAAATTTATTTTTTGGTAGGCAGTAATATAACTTTTACCCTTGACTTTTATAGGTTATTTGGCTGTTTCTTTGTTTCTACATGAAAATCATGAGCTGTTGCTTCTCCTTGTGAATACAGTTGTAAAGGTACTGTATTATGTGTTGGTTAATTGGAAGTTTAAATGATTCCAGTAGGCGCTGACATTTCTCCACAATCGTACTGAATTAGACAGTTACTTCGGAAGAAGGTGGGGTTAGAAAGCTCTTTTAGATCAATTTCTGTATCTGTAAAGTGGGAATAATGATGGAACTCATCTTGTACAGTTGTTGTGAGGGTTAAATGAATGACATGTGAAGTAGTAGCTGTGCTATTATTGCTGTTATTATTTATTAATGCTTCATTCAGTAAAACAGAATTATAACCCAGAACTCTAGGCTTATCATCAAGTGCACTTTCCATCAGACCATGTTGTTTTTTTCTCTGGGATCTGTTCTAATGTGATATAGATATAAATAGAACAATTGAAGTCTTTAAAAAGTTATTTTAAAGGAGAACAGAGTATAATTGGGTAGCTGAAATGTACAGATAATAACAATTTAATCCACACACAGTATTCTTTTTTTTTTGCTTTTTAATCAAAATTGATAATGAGGTATAATTGAGTGGTTGAGCTTTTCCTGTTTATCTATGGCAATCTTTTGATGTGTGTATAGTATACTATAGCATACTGTTTATTGTAGTATAGTATTTTCTGATTTTTTAATCAGTATACCATATTAATGAGCTTAAGTTTTTTTTCAACTTCAAAAAACATATTTTCAGATTCTGTTAGAATTATTTATAAACTGCACGTATAAGTATATATGAATGCTTGCATTTTATTGTATATATTCTGGAATTACTTCCTTTTAAGCTTCCATTCATATTATTGCTGATTAACAAGAAAAATTTATAAAATTGTTTTGTTTTTGGTTTAGAAAAGTTTTAAAGGTTGTAATAAAGGAAACTACTTTGACCAGTATCAGAACAAAAGTACAGTTTCCTTTTGTGTCAACTGCTTTTTGCCTATATTTATCTGTTGACTTTTTTAAGACAAATGAAGCAAATAGGGACATTCCTGTAAAATATGTAGATAAACCTGAATGTACAAAGTAATTATAAAGTTAGTAGAACACTGCTAGGTATACAGGACCTTTACGTTGTTGATTGCACCATCCCTGGTTTCAGAGTTTACACTGAATGTTTTCTTTGCTTAATAATTATGTCAGGACTTGCAGAGTACTAACTTGGTTGAAGTAAGTATGGCACTTACTGTCGTCAGCCAGATCTTTCCTCGAGAAATGATTCCAGCTGTTCTTCCATTAATAGAAGATAAACTGCAACATTCTAAGTAAGTAAATTCTTTTTGGATAGGTCTCTACAAGGAGCCCTGGCGGCACAGTGGTTAAGCACTTGGCTGCTAACCAAAAGGTTGGGTTGGCGGTTCAAATCCACCAGCTGCTAAGTGGGAGAAGGACGTGGCAGTCTGCTTCTGTAAAGATTTACAGCCTTGGAAACTGTGTGGAGCAGTTCTACTCTGTCCTGTAGGGTTGCTGTGAGTCAAAATAGACTCGATGGCAGTGGGTTTTAGTGTCTGCACCATAGATTTCAGAACAGTAACTTAGACTTGAAAATTTATTGTACTTTAACTTAATGCTACCAGGGTAGAGAATATTCTGACTGCCAGATACAGTGCAGACATCTCCAGTAGGAATGCCTTTTATTTTTATGTGGGTTTGGAAACGTAGTAGGCAGCTTTCTGAAGTTCAACCGAGAGACCGAGGCTTAGCATCAGAAGTCCTTGCCTTTCCTCCCAGCTCTACCACTAACGAGCAGTCATCCTGTTTTTCCCTTGGCTACAAGGGGTTGGTTGAAGCTCCTTGATTCTCACAAAGTTGTTTTGAGGATAACATGAACTAGTGGAAGATGTTTGGAAATAGTTTGGAAATGAAAAGCTTTGGTGTATTAGCAAGATACTTTAATATCAAAACCACGGTGTTCAAATTCTGTTTTATAGCAGACTATATCCAAATAAACATTAACTTGTAGTATGTTGTTAATCTTCTCTTATAAGATTCCTTAACTCTGTCCTTACCAACTTGACTTACTTTTTCACTATACTTGGATTATTTTATTTTCTCACCATATTTGGAATTATTTTGTTTTGACCAAGCCCCTTAGCCTTATAACTGTTAAAGCTAGGAAAGACTTTGGAGTCATTTTCCATTTTTCCTCTGTGACTATAATATTTTAGTTATATATACATTCTTGATAAAGAATTTTTTTGTTACTCCATTTCTTTAATTCATATGCTTCTTGAAGTCAGTATTTCTAATGTTTTAAGAATGTAAAATGTCTTCTTACAGCTTGTATTCTTTAGGAAGTTTTGGGCCATGAATCTTCCAAGTAAAATGATAGTTTTTTTTACTAAGAATTATAGAATAATTACATAGGTTTTAAAATACTTTTTAAGTTTTGTTTATGTCAAATCTGTGTTTAGAACAAAGGATGGGTAAAGATAATTATTAGAAAGGAAATATTTGCTTTTCTTAGATAATTATAGGTTCATCTGAATACAGCAGCAGCATATTTTTAATTATTTTTTCTTACCACCACCCTTTTGCGGTTATACACTTACTGACCCTTTGTATGAAATTCTTCAGAGAGTTTTTCCTTGGCCTCCCATCTACTATGATTTCATCCTGGCCCCTCCTGTCTTCTGCCTGGAATTCAGACTTTTTGAAACTCTATGTCCGCAGTTAGGGCCATACCCCGCTTCATGCTGAGGAAAGAGCTAAAGAATATGGGACAGAATACAGGTAGGCCAGTAGCCATCACAAAGAGGCTGTGACTTGGACTTGACGTTTGAATCCCTGGCTGTATTTAAGCAAGCCACAACCAGAGCCAGAATCCAGATCTCCTGAAATCTTGTGTAGTACTGCCACTTTGGGCCAGGCCTAGGGACTCCTGAGCCTGTTCAGAGTTTAGACTCTTTTCTCCTTACCTCATTTACCTACTGTCTAATATTGGTCAGCATCCAGTGATGGTTCATTGGGATATAGTTTGTAGTTAGCGTACACTGGTGAATCTGATGCTAATCTGCTTACATTTTTATGTGAAAAGAATTTTGTATCAGTCAAATAGTTTGTTTAGGGAGATTGGGAGTTGCTTTTTAATAGTACTTAGGAGAAGCTGGCTGCCCATTTGCCAGGAATCTTAGGGTGTTCATCAGTTGAACACACGATTGCATTGAATAAACTCAGTTTGGTTTTCTGTGTCTTTAGGTAACAGAAATATATATTAAGGATCTCTGAAAGTAAGCACTTTACTAATGTGACATTTGTTGTTGTTGTGAGCGCTGCCAGTGTAGAGTGCAAATAAGAGATAAATAAGAAATGGGCACGGGAGAGAACAACCAGGAGCACACCTTGGAAACTACACTCTGACCATAGGATAACAACGCTTTTACTTTATTTCCTGTGTGCTAGACACTAGTACAGATGAAGTGTGAGACTAGTATATCCTTACTTCTTCATTGTAATGAAGTTTTTGAAATAGAGATGAGTTAGGCAAGGAGAGGAGTAACATTGTTTTTTTCCATGTGTATCTCCCTGTGCCTCCAAAGTATGGGGCTTTAGGACGTATTTTGGGTATGCTTGCCCATGATGTAAAAAAAAAAAATTAATATTAAAAGCTACTACTTTAGAATGGGAATGTTAAAGACACTTGTAATAATAAAGGGACTCTAATATTACTAGCTGAAATTACCTGTTAACTGATTTAAAACTTATTGTTGGCTTTTTTTGCTTCCAAGTTCTGGAAATAAGGCTTTCAAAATGGTATTAGGAAATATAAAAGAATAAATATTTGTCTTCTTTTTTTTTCCTGATTTTAAAAATAAGATACACTTGTTAAAAAAATTTCTGTAACTACAGGAATATGTAACGTGCATAGTTCAAGTATCTTGTGATCTTACCTCTTAGAGACAGCTACTTTATACAGTTTGGTGTATTAGAATAATGAAATTAATGATGAATGTGTAATTCTCTTTTTAGATCATAAGGTGGTGGCTGATACTTTGAACTCACCTTTTTAAACTAAATACCTGATGATTCAGATTGGCTTGTTAGATGTCATTTTTTTATCTTTAGGGAGATCATACGAAGAAAAGCTGTTCTGGCATTGTATAAATTTCATCTCATTGCTCCCAATCAAGTACAGCATATTCATGTTAAATTTCGGAAAGCACTTTGTGACAGAGATGTTGGGGTCATGGCTGCCTCCTTGCACATATACCTTAGGATGATTAAGGTATGTTGGGAATTTCAGCAGGTGCTGAGAAGTTACCATTAGAAAAATATTGGTATGGAATTAAAAAAAAAAAATCTGTCAGTAAAATGCTTAGTTAACATTTAAAATTTTAATTATTGACTCTTTAATAATAGTTTTTGCAAATTATTGATAATAAAGAGTTGTTCAGAACTAGTCATTTTTTTTTAATGCCTTAAATTTTTTCATGTTACGAAAGAAGTATGGAAAGATATTGGCTATGGAAGGTGATTGAAATGTGCAGGTTAGTGCTTTGTGTGCATAACAGCTTGTAGAGATGAGGAAAGCTGTTGAGGGTTGTGCAAGGTATGTATATGCAGAGTTGACTCCTTACATTGATACTGTGGCAGTCGAGAAAAGAGGGTTGAATGATTAGAAATAGGCAAAACCAAAAAAAAAAACCAAACCCGTTGCCATCGAGTAGATTCTGACTTATAGCGACCCTATAGGACAGAGTAGAACTGCTCCATAGGGTTTCCAGGGAGAGGCTGGTGGATTCAAACTGCCGACCTTTTAGTTAGCACCCGAGCTCTTAACCACTGCACCACCAGGGCTACCGGAATAGGCAGACAGTGCCTGAAAGGTGCCCTTATGCTTCTTGCACTAATTAAAGATTCATTTGGATTAGCAAACTCTTCTTTTATAATTTTAAAAATATTTTTGTTTTATCATATGATAGATACAGATAGTTGGAAAAAATACTAAAAGACTTACTGAAGAACAGTAATCCCTTGGGTCTGCCCACTATCCCCACCCTGACCAGCCTGTCACTGTTCTGTTTCCCATAGGCAACCACTTTCAGTGCCTTTTGCATAATTTTGTCATAATTGTTGGTAGTCAGAGAGTTTAGCCAGAGTTTGCACTGCTAGATCTCAGTAAATATTATATACTGTGAGCCAGTTATGATTCCTTTTTTTCTTTACAATATTCTGTTTTTCCTGCTGTTAATAATTGCTTTGTTCTTTCTTTGCTTAGTTGTCTGTTTACCTGCTGTTGATTTTTTTCCCTTCATGTTCCAGCAGATTTGTGCACTACCTAGTAGTTGTTTTTCCATGTGGATGATCTCTGTCCCTTCCCCACTGCTTCCTGTTAGGCCCTCAAGTCTTCTGTCCTGGTCTCATTGTTGCTGTCTAGGACAGGTGGCACATCGCTTACACTTGGGACATCACCGGTCCTTTATGTTGGGGTCCAGTTCCTCAGTTCTGTGTTTTCCTGTTTCTTGGTGCACTCCCTCATTTTGATGAAGTATATCCTAAGAAAGGGTTTTTGGAGAGTAAGTATTTTGAGCCCTTGCATGTGTGAAAATATCTTTATTCTTCTCTTACACTTTATTGATAGTTTGACTGTAGAATCCTATGTAAAACAATTTTTCTTCAGAATTTTGAAGGCATTGCTCCACTGTCTAATAACTTCCTTTGTTGGTAGTAAGAAGTTTTTATGACATTCTGATTTTTGTTTTTTTATATGAAGCTGCTCTTTTTCTCTTGGAAGCTTATAGGGTCTTTTATCCTGGTGACTTTCATGGACCCTTTCAGTAGAAACTCAAGTCCTTCAGTTCTGAGAAATGGTCTTGTATTATTTCTTGGATAATTCCCCCCTCCCTTATTTTAATTTTTTTGGTTTCCTCTTTCAGTCACTGCTACAAGTTAGCTGTTAGACCCCTGAATTCTTCTCTTAAGTTTATTTTTTCTCCTATTATCCATCTTTTTCCTTAATTTTATCAACCTTTAACATGAACTTTGAATTTTGCTGTCTTTTTATTTTCTAAGGGTGCTTTTTTTTTATTACTATGAATGTTCCTTTGTTTTAAATTTTTTAAAATAGAATCCTTTTCTTATTTCAGAAATATAGTTTACTCTGTTTCTCTGAGGATATTAAATACAGATGCTTTGGAGTCTTCTACCTGCATTGTCTTACTTTCCTCTTGTGTTCCTTTTTTTCTGTTTATTTTAGTCACCTTTTTTGGTATTGGAATGTTACCTTGACTGTCTGGTGATGGTTGGCTGTCCTTTTGTTTTTAAGAACGAGTTATTAGAAAGTTGACTGGAGGCTTTGTGTGCTTGGGCGAGGGTCAGTAGACTGACCAACTGTACTGTAGTGTGACTGGAAGACAAGCAGGCCTTGTCATGGTATAGGCATTTGACTGTAGACCCTTTCTCTGAGACCATTTTTTAGAAAAGGATTCTCCAGTCTCCTTCTTGAGGAACTTTAAGCCCACATGGGAACCAGGCAGGGGAAGGGAGCTGGGAATCTCATCATGTAAGCTTTTAACAGAATCTTCCTGTTTTGAGTCTGGTAACTTTCTCTTGCCACCCCCTGTGCTTTGTATTCCCGTGTTTGGAATCTCTTTAGTTCAGTTTCTCCAAGCAGTAATCCTCCCATCTTCTGAAAGGGCAGTAGGTGTCAGGAGGAGGGGAAGTCACTTGCCTTTGCACAGTTGGGAAAGAAATCTTGGTGATCTAGCCACACTGTGCACATACTTTCAACTAATCCCCTTGTTTTCTAGCCCCATATCTCATCTTCTGCAATACCTGGTGCCTCCAAGCATTGAGCCTTGGGATTTCTATGAGGTGGATTAGCTCACTTCTGTAGCTCCTCTCTGCAGGAACTGAGATTGTAGCTTCCTCTGTTCTGCTACTCAGTTACTGCTGTTCCATTTTCTTTCTTCCACCCGTCCAAACTTGCTGCGGTCAAGTTGATTCTGACTCAGTGATCTTATAGGACAGAGTAGAACTGCCCTGCCCTATAGAGTTTCCAGGTCTGTAATCTTTACAGAAGCAGACTGCCGTATCTTTCTTCACGGAGCAGCTGGTGGGTTCACACTGCCGACTTTTTGGTTAGCAGCTGAGTACCTAACTGCTGCTCCAAGGCTCCTTTTCTTCTTCCACAGATATATTGAAATCTTTCAGTCGCTGGTTTGTCTCCATTTTCATTCTTTTTGTCCTCTTTGAAACAATTTCTTTATTATCAATTTCATCAGCTTTTGTAGGGGAGGATAAGCTTGTGTGCTCAATCTACCATGTTTAACAGAAGTAAAAAAAACAACTTTTGAAGTACAAATGTCCTTTGTTAGACAGTTACTTTGGGTGTAGATGTATTTAATCTTATGAATTGACATTTTGATGTGGTATAAATTTGTTTAACCTTATTAATGCTAACTAGCATTCTGGTATTACAGATGTTTCTATTATGCACAGTTAAGTGTATTTGTATGATTTATATACACATACATATGTACGCATTTATATATATAGACGCACACATGTAACTCCTATTTTTCTGTTATAGAATTCTACAGTAAACATCCTTATACGTTTCATTGTTCTCTTTTTTTATAGAAAAATTCCTCAAAGCAGAATTGCTACATTTAAAAAAAGTTATATACAGTAATTTTCCATATACATTTGTACCACTAATTAGAGTATCCTTTTCCCATATTTTGTGAACCTGCCAAAAAATTTGCAACCTATATAATAGACAAAAGATTACTATCCCTAATATGCGAAGAGCTTCTGTAAATCAGTAAGAAAAAGATAAACAACTGAAGAGAAAAATGGTCAAAAGGTATATGGAAAGGCAAACCACTGAAGAGGAAATACAAATGGTTAATAAATGGATGAAAAGATACTCTACTTCAGAGGTCAGCAAACTTTCTTTAAGGGTCCAAACCAAAAAATCAAACCTGTTGCCGAATCATAGTGACCCTGTAAGACGGAGTAGAACTGCCCCCTGGGGTTTCCAAGGTGGATTTGTACTGCCGACCTTTTGGTTAGCAGCCGTAGCTCTTAACCACTGTGCCACCAGGGCTCCTCTGTAGGGTCCAGATAGTAGAAATGTTAGGCTTTGTATGCCATATGGTCTCTGTCAACAATTACTCAGCTCTGTCGTTGTAGCACAAAAGCAGCCATGTAGTTGTTGTTAGTTGCTGTCACGACGACAATTCGGACTCATGGCGACCCCCAGTGTGCAGAGTAGAACTGCACTCCATAGAGTCTTAAAGGCTGTGACCTTTTGGAAGCAGATCACCAGGCCTTACTTCTAAGTGGGTTTGAGCTGCCAGCCTTTGGTTTAGTAGTCCAGTGCTTAACCATTTGTGCCACCCAAGGAGGCTTAAAGCAGCCATAGATAATACGTAAATCAGTGAGTATGGCTGGGTTGCAATAAAACTTTATTTTTAAAAAACCAGTGGGCTAGATTTTACCCAGGGACTTTAATTTATTACCCCTTGCTCTGCCTTACTAGTGATCAGGGAAATGCCAATTAAATAATTTTTTTTTTCATACCAGATTGGTGAAAATTAAAGCATCCTTATAAAATAACATTTTGAATTGTTTTTCTAAATGGTGATGATGGATTTATACTAATTCAGCCTCAGTGTATTGCCGGAAACTCTCTTTGTCTGAGAGCATATATATTTGTGAGAGATTTCATGAGCATCTACAGTAACAAAATGGAACATGCTGTTGAATTCAGTTTAAATTGTAGAACCAAAGTTTGTTGTCTTTTTTTTTTTTTTTTTGCTTTAAGTGTGTTCCAGAATAGAATGGTATAGATAGATATTTGATAATAAATTTTATTTTCCCTCTAACATTTACTGAACTTCAAGAGAGCTATTATTTCTCTCTCAAAAATTTGCTCTTGATACACAATGAAAATTACAGTGAAGAATCTTAACGTTCATTTCGAGAAGTGTACGTTTAATTTCCTCAGTCAGACAGGTAATCAAAGCATACTCATTCAGAAACACAAATATATTTTAATACTGCATGGTTAATTAATTTTGAATAAATGGTGTTCCTGATTTGGGGGATTTGAATATTTCTGTAATCTTGGCCGTGTTCTCCACCAAGAGCATATCTACTTCATTTACATGAGAGTTCTCACAGCAGGTTCAGAGATTACACACAGGCCTTGATTTTCATCAAAAGTAAAGGTAGTACTGCTCTTTTTCAGTATGCCGGTTCTTTTTACTTTTTGCTTTAATTGCTGGTTATTTGGTTATTAAGAGTTCTGTCTAAGATATAATTATAAGAACTTTTGAAGTATGATTGAACTGTGTGTGGGAGTAAGAAAGGAATAGTGGAAGCTTTCCTGGGGATGATTCAGCTTTGTTTCAGTCAGGTAGCCAGAGTGTAATCACAGAAAAAAATGCACATTAGAGCACTGCTTCGTTAAATGTAAAATGTGAAACTTGTGAGTAGGCATCATCTGAAGGTCTATATGTTAAGTAGATTATGGCATTTCAACCGTATCTATTTTATATTTGATAAGACGTTACTATTAAAAGAATTTTTTTTCTTTTTGGATGTAGGAGAGTTCATCTGGATATAAAGACTTGACTGGGAGTTTTGTAACAATTTTGAAGCAAGTAGTTGGAGGAAAGCTCCCAGTAGATTTCAACTACCACAGTGTGCCGGCACCATGGTTACAAATTCAACTCTTGAGAATACTAAGACTTCTAGGAAAAGATGATCGAAGGTAAACTATTCCAAGTAATTTACTTTATGACCCTAAACGACCTGATAGCCCCTAGACCTTAGTCACCTGGAGGTTTCATGGCTGAGTCAGATAAATAAACCATTGTAAGAAGCTCTTACATTCTTTCAGGTTGCTAGGATAATCGTAGCTCTCTGCTTATCCGAATCCTACCCGTTGGTAAAGGTACCTCTGAAGTTCCATCTCCTCTGTGAAATTTTCTAGTTCAGCAGTTGGCACACTTCTTTTTGTAAGGGCTAGATAAATTTCTTAGACTTTGTGGACCAGATGTTGCAACTATTCAACTTGGCTATTGTAGCAGAAGGAGCCATAGACTATACATGAATGAATGAGCATGGTTGCATTCAAAAAAGCTTTTTGTGGATTCTAAAACTTGAATTTCATATAAGCTTCATGAGTCATAAGATACTATTCTTCTTTTGATTTTTTTCCAACCATTTAAAAATGTAAAAACCATTCTTAGTTTACAGCTGTACAGAAACAGGCATCAGGCTAAGGTAGGCCTGTGGGCTGAAGTTTGCTGACCCTTGATATAGTTGCATGTGAGGACTTCACCTTTTTAATTCATTTGTCTGAATTGCTCTTTTGACCAGTAATTTATATTAAATTTTTTATGGATATATTTCCAACTATATATATATTTTATAGCTTTTTATTTTACTATAATTTTTTAAACCTACAGAGTAGTTCCAAGAATAGTACAAAGAACTCCTTTTTATGTTTTACCTAAATTCATTGATTATTTCCATTTATTTTATCATTCTTACTTTGTGTGTGCGTGTGTATGTGTGTGCATGCATGCACAGATTATTTTCATTTTAAGATTTTTTTCTGAACTGTTTGAGAGCATGTCCAAATAGATTTTATTTCTCTTGAGAGCAAGGACCATGGGTCAAGTTTGTTTATTACCATCCCTGTTATGTTTCTTTTTAAGAAAACATTTGTTAATCAGTGTTCTGACTTTATGAAATGTGGTTCCCTTTTATGCAGTAGCATATGTTTATATTCTAATTCTTTAACCTGGCTTTATAATGAGACCTTCCTCTAGGCTGTGGCTCCTAGAAACTAGAAATGCCCAGTCAGCTTCATGTCAGAACCCTCTGCCGTCACTGCTAGTTGGACTGTACCATTCTTGGTATTACTCTGTTTCCTGTGTTGATAAATCTCAACCCCAGATTGAAACATGGAGTGAAAACCTGGAGGTGATGGAATAGACACACACACATTAGAGATGTTTGTCCTAATTATGTTTTACATAACTCCAACCTATCCTATCATGGGGCTCCAGTTGGAGTTGACTGAAATTCTGTTTTAAAACAACTGATTTCATAGTAATGCATCATAGGTTATTGGTCTGAAAGACTTAATGCCATTATATATGTTGTCCGGAAGCAACTTGGGAGGTATTCAGGGAGGTTATTTACTATATTTATTAACATTATCTTTATTCTTCTTTCCTTCATCAGTGAATTTGGTGCATATATACAAACATGAGTAAGATAGTCCTTACCTTCAAAGAGTTCAATTGAGCAGTAATTAGGCTTAATTAAATGAATAAATGAACAGTGGAACTCTTATAATATTGCAGAACATTAGAAAATTTTCTTTTTTTGTTGCTCCACTTTTTAATGAGATTTTATATTAACAGAAATCTTACATATCTCAAGACATGGTTAGTTCAGTGTGTTAAAGTAAAAAATGTTAGTAAGTTCCAACAGGATTCTAAAGTATTAATTGAAATAATTACCTAGCAAAGTCTTTATATACTTACGATCTTTCACATCCATGGCTTGTATTTTCTTGTGTTTTTTAACTGTGTGCTTCTTACGTTATTAATATTTAGCTCGATCATGTCCTCAAATGTTTCCACATCCATGTGGTCAGTCATGACTGTGTTATGCCAGACATTGGCTTTAAAAGAGAGAAACCAGACTCTAATCTAGGTGTAGCATTGCCAAATTTTTAGGAGGAGGATTGGTAATGTCTGCTGTATGGTTCTCTTCTGCAGAAGAAATGCTTACACAATAAAATAAGGGATTTTACAATATGATTCAAGTTCTGGATTCTTATTGGACATTTGTACTTCAGTCAAGACAGAGTAAAAGTACATGTACTTCAAATTGAATTTTCTGGCTGTATATTTGAAAAAAGGGGCTTTTTCTGAAAGATGTGACATATGGGATATTTTGATCTTTTTATTCCTTGTTTTGTAAGGTAGCTTCTCTGCAAGACCACTCTGTGTATCCTGTGATCTTGGTGGTTTTTTTCTATTAGTGCTTTTTGAATTTGTAAACATACAAAAATACCAGCAGAAAAGCCATAGTTTTCACACTGGCCTCTTGGAGAGAAATTTTGTCTTCTGGGCTTAGTGGCAGAGCGTTAGGACTCTGTAAGGGACTGTGTTTTCCTATAGTATTTACCTCAACCAGTTACTTTGATAAGTGACCATAAAGACATACGAATGATACAGATCCGTTAATTCCACAAAATATAATGCTTTATATTTTGTGTAAATATAAGTTAAAACTTTCTTACTGAGGAATCTAGTTATTGATCAGAGAAAAGACTAATGTTTGAATAATTTTTGAAAACTGGTCAAAATACCGATAATAATAATGTCTGGAATAATCTGGATATGTGAGCTGTTGCTGTAGTCACTTAAAACGTAGAGATATTTTATTGCAAATAAAATTATAAAAGATAGTGTATTCAATCAAATAAAAACCTGATTTGTAAACTAGGTGCAGATTGAGGATAAAGTTGATTGATCTATGTATATTTCCTGATTGACTAACTAGTCAACTTGATAAAGCAGGAAATTCAAAACTCGTGGAAAAGAGCAAATTAAGTCTTTAATAAGGGAAATTCATGTAACTTCACCATAAAATGAATTTTTTTCACTAGTCTTCTGTAGATCTTCAGTTTTAAAGAGATAGAAGTTTGAAAAACTGTTGTTTTTTTGGGGGGGTTAGAATACTCTAATTCTACTGCAAATAAAATATCTTTTAAACAGGACAAGTGAATTAATGTATGATGTTCTTGATGAATCCTTACGAAGAGCCGAGTTAAATCACAATGTCACATATGGTAGGTAATGTTTGTATATGACTAAAGGTGCTTTTTAGTGTCACAGCTAAGTCTGTCTTAGAATGCTGTAAGTTCCAATTGAATTTTCTACATTAATTTTTAAAGTGGTTCTTTGTAGGTTGCTGTTCTTTTTGTAATGTGAGCATTGAATAACTAATAGAAATAATTTGAAATTATGGCATTGTTCTAGATGTTGACCTAAATTCATTATTATAATTTTCTCCTTATTGAAAACATTCATCAGGCATCTAATAGCTGTGAAGATAATCCAGCAGATCTGTTCCACATCTTGTAAAAGTTTATATTTGAAGATAGTGCCTAATAATCAGTCAACCAGTTGTCAAATATTTATTAACTTTCTATTATTTGTCAGGCCATGTGTAAGGTATTTGGAATACAGCTGTGAATAAAACAATATTAACATGGGGCTCATAGACTAGATACATGGAAAGGGACAAGTATTGTTACAACGAGAATTACAGGTGCTGTGGGAGAATATAGCAGCTCGTTGTAGGTGAGGGGGGAGAACAAGGAAGGTTTTCTTGAGAAGGTGATATTTAAGATGACACATGGAGTATGAGTAGGATATAGAGTATATATAGATGTAGAATAATGACACTATTTTATGAAGAGACAGTAAATCATTTATGTTTTATACAATTAGAAAAAGTAAGTTAGTGATAGGAGACAAGATTAAGTAGGGAGAGGAGGGTAGAGAATGGAGAAAGTAACAACAAAAACCTTCCAAGTTTAACAGCCAGTGGGAAGAACTGTTAGTTCTTTTTTGGTCAGTCTGAGAAAGCTCAGTGAAGAAATTGGGTTTTGGAGATATTTAAAAGATGTAAGTGAAATATTTGAGTTTTGTATGCTTTAGAGAACAGCAGTACAGAAGATACTGAGAGACATAACTCAAATGGGGAAGTCATTTCTTAATCTGATAAAATACCCTGAAGTATGGGATGAAGAGCGTTACTTGTTCTTTCAAACAATGGAGAACTACTGTAGATCTTTAAGAACAATGGTTGTAGAAGTGTAGGATAGACCAGAGAGCAGAAGCTGAACTAGTTTAGAAAGTGCTTGACAAAGCCACGGTAGGAATCAGGAGAACACATTGCATGCATGAAACTCGTACAGGAAAAATAATGTACGTGATAGTGAATCGCGATAGTAAACTTTGAAGGTAGATTTGTTTTGCATATATAAATGGTAATTAAGGCAACGAGAGTGGTTTATTCATGTGTTCAACCAATATTTATTGAATGCCTACCAAACAAAAACTTGATTTGTAAACTAGGTACAGATTTAGGGAAAGAGTTGATTAGCTTCTGTATATGTCCATGCTAAGTGTGAGAGATAAAAGGAATAATAAGAGAGACACACACCTTGCCCGTATGAGTGTGTAGTATTATGAACAGTTGATATTATCTAGGCTCTTGATACATAGTGAGAAGAATGAGGAGCCAGAGACCAGGGTGACCTTTATTGTGGCTGGTGGTTTGGTTAGAAGCTATTGGAAAATTCAGGCAACTGAAGTAAGTTAAAATGTTTCATTTGAGATATAATCAGTTTCTAGGATAAGCGTTTGAAATGATTTCAAGGGGTTCTGTTTAAAAATTAGTTGAGCATCTGCTTTTTTTTTTTCCTTGCAGAAAGTCAATATTTTCTTAGCGTTGACATTTCAGCTTTAATTTTTTTTGAATAGGTAATATATGCTCATGGTTCAAAATTCAAAAGGTTCAAAAGGGTATACAATGAACAGTAAGTTTTCATTCCATCTTTATCACCCACCACCTGGTTCCCTTTCCTGGAGACACCACTGTTACTTGTGTCTTTTGATGTGGAGAATACTATATACCTGAGGACATATATTTTCTTTAATGTTCTCACTAGGACACTTGTATTAAGATTACTTGAACCAACACCAACAATTTGTTTCCTTATAGGCTGTCAGCCAGTGTTTCAACTTGTCACAAAAACCTCATAGCTTCTGTTGTTTTGTTTCCTTTATTATTTCATTATTAGACTTTTATTTATATTTATACTGATACAGTTTAGAGTTTACAGTGACTGTATCAGTGGTAGAGTATCCTCAAGTAAACCTAATATAAGTCTTTATTTTATTGTTTATGTGAATTTTAAATCATAAGCTTCATAAGGGTAGGTACTGTGTCTGTGTTATTGACTACCATATCCACGATATCCAGTGCTGGGTTAGTTGGTGATTAATATGATTTAATTGAATTAAAGGAAGAAAAAGTTCTTTTTCTTTTATGTTATAATTGGGTTTTAGTGTTAATACTTTCTAAACTATATTTTTATAAACATTCCATTGTTATAACTTACTGTAGTATCAAATCAAGAAATAAATCGCATCAAAGACGTTTATTGAGTATCTGCTATGTGCCAGACATTGTACAAAGTTTTGTAGAGGTATGGAGAAGTATAAGATGTAATCTTTGTCTTTGAGGATATACATATAATGGAAGGGATAACTTATTCATGAAAGCATAACAGCAGTATAAAGCAGAATGCAAAGGGGGTGGTACAGGGAATAAATATGACAGCAGGTCAGAGGAGGTAGAGGTCACTGTGGACTGGAGGACACAGATCAGGATTTGTTGATGTGATAGGACCCCGAAAGGTAGGTAGGATTTAGATAGGCAGAACAGTGAGTCACCAGCCTGAGTGGAGGATTTGTGGTGGGGAGCAGTGGAAAGGCAATATTGTGGAGGTTCTCTCATGGTAGCCAAAGGAGTTTGAACTTTATACTGTATAAATCTGGAAGTCATGGAAGATTTTTGAACAGGATACTGATACGATGAGAATGGCATTTTCAGTAAATTAAATTGGGAGGACTATATGGAACAGGGAGGTGGGGAGATGGTGTAGATGGTTAATGCACTCGACTGCTAACTGAAAGGTTGGGGGTTTGAGTCCACCCAGGGGCACCTCGGAAGAAAGGCCTGGCAGTCTACTTCAGGAAAATCAGCCATTGAAAACCCTGTGGAGCACAGTTCTACTGTAACACATATGGGGTCTCATGAGTTGGAATCAGTTCAAGAACAAATTGTTTATATAGAATGAAGTACAAGAGACAGAACTATGACAAGTATTTTTCCCTATGCTTCCTGCTAAGTACAGCTGAAAACCGGAACATTATATATAAAAGAAACATATGACTGTAAAAGGTAGAGAAAAGAAGGCAGACCATCTGGGACTTTGAGACCCAAGGAACAAAGTGGAGGTGAGTTCCCTGAGTTAACTTTTCTCCCCATATACCCCAGACTGGATACTGGAAAAGTCAGCAACCTGGAAACACCAATAAGTGAGACCAAAAAAACACTCCAAGAAAAGCCAGTGCTCTCTAGCACAAGGACCAGGAAGAAAGAGGCAGCATAGCAAGACCAAACTTTTAGACAATACCCTGTTACTCCATCTAAGCACTACGCAGAAACAACTGTGGCCCCATCCCTGCCAGCAAAGACCAGGTAGAGAGCTAAAACTTCCACCTTCACCAGACTGTACTGAGGTGCCCCAACCCCACCATTGTGGCGATACTAGTGAAGTCTGTGTGGGGAGCTAGGCCTTCACTGGGTGGTAAGGAAGCCCCTGCTTCTGCCGTGTGAGTGGAGACCATGTGGAAAGCCTGAACTTCACATTTACTGTGGGTGACTACGTGTGCTGAGATGGTCAGAGGAAGCCTAGTGGAGAGTGAAGACTTTTATCACTTTTTAGTGATAATGAGGCCACCCCCTGAAATGTTGGTGGAAGCCGTGTAGAGAGCAGTAATGAGGTGCCCCTCACTTTCCCAGGAAGGTAGTATCAGCCAAGCCTCCCATCCCTTGCCCAACAATAACATAGAGCAATAACAATAACAGTAACTCCAGCTGTGAAAGGAGGCTGAGTGGAGAGCCTGGGCATCCACCCCAACCTTGCAGTAATAAGGCAGTACCCCACTACCTGTTTCACCCCCACCTCCTGCCAGAGTGTAGGCCCGCTAACACAGGATTTAAATAAGATCTGGAATCTCATAATACCCAACATGGTTAAATTGAAAATTGTTCGTAATATCAAGAACCAGAAGATGTCAGACTGAATAAGAGAAGACAATAGATGCCAACACTGAGATGACACAGATGTTAGAATTAGTCTGACAAGGATTTAAAGCAGCCATCATATAAATGCTTCAGTGGGCAATTATGAGTACCTTTGAAACAAAACTGAGAAAGTCTGAGCAAAGAAATAATGTATTTAAACATATTTAAATATAATGCTATAAAACGATCTTTAAAAGTATAAAGGTGAACCAAGTAGGAAATTTTTTCACTGAAAAATAATAACCGAAATAAAAAAACTCAATGGATGGGCTCAACAGATACGCAGACTACATCCCTGACAAAGGACTCATATCTAGAATATATCGAGAACTCTCAAAACTCAATAGTAAAAAATAATCCAATTAGAAAATGAACAAAAGACATGAGGGGACGTATCACTGAAGAGGATATACACATGGCAAATAAGCACCTGAAAAGATGTTCAGCATCATTAGCCATTAGGGAAATGCAAATTAAAATCACTATGGTATATTGCTACATACTTTTTCAAATGGCTAAAGTAAAAAATAGTGACTATCAAATTTTTGGTGAGGATGTGGAGAAACTTGATTTCTCATACTTCACAGTTGGAATCTGGAAAACAGTTTGGCAGATTTTTAAAAAACTAAACACATACTTAAAAAAAGGAAAAGGAAAGTGCAAGTAAAATCTAGTCTGAAGAATAAGATGTTAGAAGAACTTCCTCAAATTTTGATTGAACATAATCCAACCCAAAATATCTATGATAAAAATCAGTGTCACAAATGTTAAAACATTAATTTTTAGTAATTTTTGCATGATGACATTTTGGTTATTATCTGGGTTGATACTACTAACGAGCAGACAAAACTCCATGTTGTTTTTAAGTTGAGAAATTGTCAGAAATACTTTAAACACTGCAGAGTGGCTGCTGTTGCAGTTACGGAATTATACACAAATTTCTGTAGTTTTGTTGGAGAGTAAAGGGACTTACCTCTAGGTGGGAAAATAATTTAGAAGTCCATTAAATTCATTTTCAGTTCGTTTACACCTGATAATAAGTGCTGTATTTGAACTTTTAATTTTACTTATACTGGCTTCCTAGAAGGCCCTGGGTGGCACAAATGGTTTAGTGCTTGACTACTAGCTGAAAGATTGGCAGTTACCACCCAGAGGAGCCTTGGAAGATGGGCTTGGTGATCTGGTTCCGAAAGGCCACTGCCTTGAAAACCCTGTGAGCAGTTCTACTCCGCACACATGGGTTGCCATGAGTCAGAACTGACTTGAGGGCAACTAACAACAGCAAGCTTCCCAGAAATCTTGCGTCTTAATTAAAAATTTAGATGGCTAAAGACAAGCTCTGTTTAGTAAAACAATTGATAGCAAGAGAGTTCTGAACGTCAGGCAACCATGCAGAGAAGCGTATCAGTTATGCTAGAAAATGGAACATTATCATATTTAATCCTCCTTAGTACTGTCCCATTACTCAGGGTTTGGAAAACTTTTTTCTGAAAAGCAGTCTAGGTAGGAAATATTTTAGACTTTGTGGGACACATAGGTCTCTCTGTCACGTATTTGTTTTTTTACAACCTTTTAAAAATGTAAAAACCATTCTTAGTTCACAGAGTGTAAAAAAATAGGCAATGGGCTGGATTTGGTTGTAGTTTACCCAATCCTACCTTAGTTGATTAGTCAATTGACCAAGGCTCTTTGTTTAGCTTGTTTAGTTGAGGAAGTCATAAAAACCAAAAAAACCAAACCCATTGCTGTTGAGTTGATTCCGAGTCACAGGGACCCTATAGGGCAGAGTAGAACTGCCCCATAGAGTTTCCAGGGAGCAGCTGGTGGATTAGAACTACTAACCTTTCGGTTAGCAGCAGAGCTCTTAACCACTGTGCCACCAGGGCTCCAGGAAGTCATAAAGTCAACTTTTATCACAGCCCAGGGCAAAGACATTTTATAGCACAACATCTGAATATACATTGTGTCTTTACATCCAATTAACTTATTTTGTAGTTTATTTTAAAAATTAAAGTCAGTTCTCTTCTTAAAGGAAAATTAATATTTCTGATTCCTTTTCCCTTCTCTCTCATGGAAGGAGTTTATATGAAGCATTTTCCACAAAATTAATCTGTATATTAGCAGTGTAAAAAACAGCTAGTTGGATATTTAGGGTATATCTTGTACATGAAGAAATCTCTGGTTTTTTATGTTTTAAACTTTTAGAAATAGAGAAGTGGTAATTATATCAAGGACACTTGTTTATGCTTCAACTTGCAGAACAATTTTTAAGTCTGCTGATCCTACTTCCTCCCAGTATCTCACTTCTGATACTGTGATCCCTTAGGACGTACAGGAGTTAATGGTGTCTCAGAGAGTCTTCTTTACCACAGCAAATCTTCAGCTCCATTACTCAGGTTCTTTAAAAGAGTTTGAGAAAAAAATTTAGTGCCCACTTTGATCATCTATCATAGTTATCAGACCTTTGACTGTATCAAAAAATCAAACACTGTTAAAAGTGTTCAAAAAGGAGCTTTGGTGGCACAACAATTAAGTGCTCGGCTGCTAACTGAAATGGTGATGGTTTGAAAGACCTGGTGATCTGCTCCCATAAAGATTACAGCCTAGAAAACCCTATGGGACTGTTCTACTCTGTCACATGGAGTTGTTAGGAGTTGAAATTGACTCGACAGCACCTAACAATAATAACAAGGTGTTCAAAAGATTGTACTGTGAACCTTGAGGTTAATTTTAAAGAAGTGACTTGAAGATTTTTGAGTAGTGACCCTATCTTTGAGATAAATGTTAGAGCATCCTCAGGTGTTTGTATTGAAATAAATTACATCAATCTTTGTATGAATCCTAGAAACTGCTTGCGGATATTCTGAAACATTCAAGGAGTGCTGGAAATACCTATTTCCGTAGGAGCAAATGAGTATACTATTTGTGTGTTCGCTAATGAACGTGAGTTCCCTGAGAGCAGGGGTTTTTGTTTGTTTTGTTCACTGCTGTATTCATAGTACTAGAACAATGCCTGGCATATAGGAAATGTTCAGTAACTACTTCGATGAATAAATGTATCGTTCTTACCTACTAGTAAATATAATTGTCTTTAAATTATACTGAGATAACCTAATCCTAATAATTGTGTAAGACTGAAAACAGTAAAATTTTCTGTAAATAAGATTTTTGATTAAAGCTGACCTTCCAATTAGTTTGTTTTATTATGAGTTCTACACAAATTCGTTCTCTTATGCTTTAACGTGATACCTGCCATTTTTATATTTTCTTTCTCTAGCTATTTTGTTTGAATGTGTGCATACAATCTATTCTATTTATCCTAAATCAGAATTACTTGAGAAGGCTGCCAAGTGCATTGGAAAATTTGTTCTGTCACCTAAAATAAATCTCAAGTATTTAGGTAAGATAATTGGCTATTTTGACAAAATTTACAAAAAGAGTTTTTGAAGTTTGCTGGGTATTTTTTTCAAGTCACTTTGTTTAATATAATCTTTGTTTCTAGGACTGAAAGCTCTTACCTATGTTATCCAGCAGGATCCCAGTCTGGCTCTTCAACACCAGATGACAATAATTGAATGCTTAGACCATCCTGACCCGATTATTAAAAGAGAGGTAAACTGATATTTTGAATAGTGTACATGAAGTGTTAACAAGCTTTAAACTTTTCATTGGTATTATGAAGAGAGATTCCAAGTGCTGGGCAGTGTGTATGTGCATGTGTATATGCATGTATTTTAACTTTTCAGTGCATTTTATTCTTCTTACTAAAGTTTAAGTAACTTTTCTAAAAAATCATCATGTCTATGTCCACAGAAATGTTCTTAAAATGTGAGTTGGAGAGGTTATAGCCAATTATCTACATAGATTCATTAATAGCTTTTTGGTCCCAGTATTGTACTAGTAGGAGACCCAAATTGTCTTTCCAGATCTTACTATTTGTACAATTTAAAATGTACTCCTGTTACCATACAGTTTAAGATTAATATTTTTCCATTATTCTCTTTAACATATGTAAAATAGGTTAATGCATTCCCTATTGAAGGTATAGGAATGTTGAAAGGATTAATAAAGTGATTTGAACTTTTTGGAAGGAAACGTATAAAATTTACTTCATTTGTTTTTCAACTATTTCCTGTTGTAAAGTTGTTTCAGTGTCTACTTGGGTGTCTTCATGAATATTTCTGCTAATTCTCATGTTTATATAATAAATTTCTATTAATATAGAGAAATCATCCTATATCTTCATTTAAAATGGTTTATGGGACCTAGTTAAGAGAAGTGAAAAGTTTTATTTCTAATTTTAAAAATAATAAAGATAAGAAATAAAAATCTATTAAAAATGTAACTATCTTAATAGCAGTGAGTTAAAAATATGGGAGTTTATTGAGAAGATCTTCTGCATTGAAGTAGAAGAATCAACTGTATTATAAACCTGTATGTTAGTTTCTTTATTGGTGTTATTATGAATAGTTTTATAATACTGTTTTATTTCTTTTCCTTAAATAGACTCTGGAACTTCTCTACAGAATTACTAATGCACAGAATATAACAGTTATTGTCCAGAAAATGCTTGAATATTTACATCAGAGCAAAGAAGAGTATATCATCGTCAACTTAGTTGGCAAAATTGCTGAGCTAGCTGAGAAATATCCTTTGTTGGGACCATGAATCGTAAAATAAGTGTAGTTACACAGTGACTTTAGAAAGATTGGTAGGGATATGGTCACTTACAAGTTGAATTCTGAGTAACTAACTCCCATTCCGGATGTTCAAGTTTTTCTTGTCAGAATCAGAAATTTGTGCCGACTTCTTAGGGGATGGCTTTTTTCCTGGTTCTTTTCATTCAGTTGGTCAGTATTATGCGCAGGAAGACAAAGGCGCCTGCACCTCCTGCACCTGGTTCCCCTTCCAGACCCTCTTGGTCTTTTGGCTTTACTTCTTACTCAGTTGCCTTTCTAGTTAAAATTCTGTTTTGTTTTGTTTTTGTTGGTTACCAAAACTTACCCTTTCCACAATTGTTTATGCTGGAAATTGTCACAATAAAGTAGTTGGGATCCACTCACATGTTAACTTTTCTTAAAAGTCAGAACTTCACCAGGTTACAAGGACATTCCATTCTTTTAAATATGTCTATTGTTTAATAAAGAAAGGAGTGAATAATATTAAATTATCTTGGAAATTGCGTAAGTATAGTTTTATCCTAGGCAGTGTATAGCTCTGACAAGTAGAATCATAAAATTTTAGAGCTCAAGAGGAACAGATTAGAAAAGAGATTAAATAACTTGTTCAGCTAGACACACCACACCATCTAGCCTCTCTGAGGTATATATAATTTTCCATTATTTATCCCTAGTTAGCTAGTTCATTTCTTTCAATTATTTCACGTTTGTTAGATGCTTATTATGTGCAAGGCACAGTGCCAGGTTAGGCGACATGAACTCAGTTTATTAAGTTCAATTAAATAAGCTTTTGTTCAGCACCTTTTTACATAAAACGGGGGTATAGGACAGTTATTGCCAGAAGTTAAATGTAAAAATTCCTACCAAGGGTGAGCGGGGTTTTTTCTAAAAGGTTGCTGCACAGAGGACAATTTAATAAATGGAGTTTGGAAGCATACTTGTTCTTGACACTGTGGACACATTTGCTCCTGATAATGCGTGGTTTATTCAGACAATGAATGCTGTGTTTTCAGTGGGAGGAGATGTAATACATCCTGATATTCCCAATAACTATCTGAGACTGCTAGCAGAAGGTTGGTAAACAATTGCATTCTGTAAGATCCTAAAGTAAAATGTTTTTATTGCAGAGTCCTTAGGGAATTTAGTGGAAATTAAAATGGTGTATTAATTTCTTTGTAGGTTTTGATGATGAAGCAGAAGATCGGTCATTAAGACTATATGCAATTCAGTCTTATCTCACTTTACTAGATGTGGAAAATGTGTTCTACCCACAGAGATTTCTTCAAGTTATGAGTTGGGTGAGCTAAATACGTTAGATCTTAAAATTTTATAGTATTAATTTTTATAGAGGCCAAATATTAGCATAGTATGTTTTCTTTTGAAATCATTCATTGATAATTAACTCCTTCAGCTGTCAATTTCCTTTCCCAGTGGCTACCTTCTATCTATGCAAAGGCATTCGACTGTGTGAATCATAACAAATTATGGATAACTTTGCAAAGAATGGGAATTCCAGAACACTTACTTGTGCTCATGAGGAACCTCTACATAGATCAAGAGGCAGTCATTCGAGCAGAACAAGGGGATACTCTGTGGCTTAAAGTCAGGAAAGGTGTGCATCAAGGTTGTATCCTTTCACTATACTTATTCAGTCTGTATGCTGAGCAAATAATCCAAGAAGCTGGACTACGTGAAGAAGAACACAGCATCAGAATTGGAGGAAGACTCATTAACAACCTGTGATATGAAGATGACACTACCTTGCTTGCTGAAAGTGAAGAGGAGTTGAAGCACTTACTGATGAACATCAAAGACCACAGTCTTCAGTATAGATTACACCTCAACATAAAGAAAACAAAAATCGTCACAACCAGACCAGTAAGCAACATCATGATAAATAGAGAAAAGATTGAAGTTGTCAGGGATTTCATTCTGCTTGGATCCACAATCAACACTGATGGAAGCAGCAGTCAAGAAATCAAAAGATGCATTGCATTGGGCAAATCTGCTGCAAAAGACCTCTTTAAAGTGTTAAAAAGCAAAAATGTCACCTTGAAGACTAAGGTTTGCCTGACCCAAACCATGGTGTTTTCAGTTGCCGCACATGCACGTGAAAGCTGGACAGTGAACAAGGAAGACAGAAGAAGAATTGATGCCTTTGAATTATGGTGGTGGCAAAGAATATTGAATATACTATGGACTGCCAGAAGAAGGAACAAATCTATTTTGGAAGAAGTACAGCTAGAATGTTCCCTTAGAAGCAAGTATGGTGAGACTTTGGACATGTTATCAGGAGGGACCAGTCCCTGGAGAAGGACATCATGCTTGGTAAAGTAGAGGGTCAGTGAAAAAGAGGAAGACCCTC